TTTTTTTTTTTTTTTTTTTTTTTTGGACAACTTGGCTAAGCCTATGACTGCGGGATTTCCTTTCTTTACCTACTATGTTTTCAAAAAGAGAATCCTTGTTTCATTCCTTATATTGTATTATATCTTTTATAATTTCTTATAATACTTATAATACAATACATATTTACATATAATTATACCGTTATTCTGCCGAAACCAATTGGCAATGAATGGAGAGATCCAAGATGATTATTAGGCAAGGCTCTAATCCGCCGATGTAGGATTCACAATCTCAACCTCTTAAACTTTTTTGTGTTTCCTGCTTCTTGTTTGTTTCAACTTTTATTATCTTGCATTTGTGTGATCTTGGACTAGGAATTGTTCCTGTTGAGGCCCAAAAAAATCCGCGGTTGGGCCCGAATAAATTCCTAGCCCAAAATGACGCATTATTCAAAAAAGGCCCAATTTGGAACACGCAAAGATCTGCCATGCACGAATCACACTTCGCGTGCCATGCCAAATAAATAATCCGTCGTGCTAGGAATCGACATTAAGATTATAAAATGTGTTAGTTCTATAAATCCATGCTAATTATCCCGTCAAGCATCATAATTAAAAAACATGCCAAGTAACATGCAATGCCAAATGGGAAATTGTTATGTCACACCCAACTACGCTACGAGCCTAAGTGGGCCCAAGCCACTCAAATGCCCGGGGCTTGCTTGAGTGGGTTGTGGTATGGATGGTAATAAGTTGTCATGAGGCCCATTGATGGACCAAGAAATGAAGGTTCCGGGTCGCTTGGGAGCCTCGGAACTCAGGCCCATTTCTTAGGACCAAAAAAAATATGGGTAAGCACAAGAGAGAAAATATCTCAACCAAAAAAGCCCAACCAAAATGGCTTACTAAAATTAACCAATATAGCCCAAAACTTGAGGAGATTAGCCCATTTGTTTGCTAGGTTGACTCGCCATCTTAGAAATCCCATACAATTAGAAGTAAGAAGCAGCAAATGCTTCTGCATTTGACTGAAAGACAAAGCCACGGAAGAGCTTGGAAGACCACGTAGGCTACTGGAAGGGAAGGAACAAGTTTTCAAGCAAAACATCCAAGGGATCAAAAGATATTGGTGCGAGCCACCTTCAAACCAGCATGTATACCCATTTCTTTCCCTCTTCAAATCTGACCATGAAGGAGGTGTTGACACTAAATCTGAAACGGCGCCAATCTGTTGACACTAAATCTGAACAGATAGAGATGAGTGCAACTTACAAGAGATGTGGACGATCTAGGAGATCGATTGAGTGGTCAATGGAGATTCCTCCTGTCTTCAGATGCTGATCCTGATCCTGAATAGAAGATAAGCGAAGCTCGTGAGGTCTATGGAACCGGTGTGGAACCAGCCTAAGACCCTCCGATGCTCAAGTAAGATTGTTTTTAAGAGCTATTGCTGTTGACCATATAGAAGTATAAAAGTCAAGCTGAAAAGTCTTACCCCTGTATTGTAGTGGAGGGGCCTATTTATAGAGGGCATTTAGTATGCTCTTAGTGCTCATTTTCGATGTGGGACTCGTGGGAGGGCCCTATGAGGTTGACACGAGTCCTTAGATATTTCAGGCGGGTGCTTCGAGGTTGATTCTGCGGAATCGGTAGGGGATACCGATTGTAGGCTGTGTTGGGCTTGTAATGATCTTTTGCTGCTTTGAGACAATATCATCAGTAGCCTATGCCGATTGTCCGAGGCCTTGGGTGCTTGGGCGAGTTTATGAGATCCACGTGTCGTTGTACGAGTGGAGGGTCAGATATGGTACAAACAGAATAAATTAGAGCAAAAACTGAGAGAAGAGGAAGAAGAACTCAAGATTTTGAAAAAACAGAATCTGGGAATGGGTCAACAAGTTGTTGTACTAGAAGGGGAAATTTTGAGTTATCGACAAAGACAAAGGTGGTTCTGGGTTGGGTGCTTGGGCGAGTTTATGAGATCCACGTGTCGTTGTACGAGTGGAGGGTCAGGTATGGTACAAACAGGAGGGAAGGGAAGAGAGGAAGAGGGATATCTGAAAATAGGAATTCTTCACTGGGGCAGCTGCGGGAAAGGGACCTTGAGCTCCCAAAATCCCTAATTTTGTGCAAAGGAGCAGAGTAGATTTCACCAAAATAGGATGATTGAAGGGATGAGAGGAGAAAAGAAGGGAAAGACTTGGCAAAATGGGATGGAAGCTATCAGGGTTTCTTGGAAAAAGATGGCTTCCAGTGGCTATAAATAGGGCCTCTTCTACCCAACAAAGAACCATCCACAACCAGAGAGCAAGCTTCCTCTCTTACTTTCGAAACCAACAATTTTCGTGCTTAGTTCATCTCCTTCCTCAGTTTTCCTTCTTGCCATGCTGTTCTAACACTTGACAGAACCACTGTCAAGCTGCTGGAAAAAGCACTCAAGCCACCCTTTTCTTTCTTTCCTTCGTTCTCAACCAAACCTCTCTTCAAAATCCTTTCTCTCCTATCTTCATACCCATCTTTTCCCAAGAACACTTAATTTTCTCTTTAGTGCTAAACTCATGGCAACTTTGCTCCCATGCCATAAGCCTCTCATGCCAAGCTAAGATTCTACCTGTAAGCACTAAAAAACTATCTGTAAGCAGCCATTATTTTTGTTGGTGAAGATAACTAAGGTGTTTCTTAAGGCTTTACTATCCTTTCGAAACATTTTGGGGTCTGATCTTTCAACTCAGATACAGGGGATATTTTCTTCAGTTTGTTCCTTACGGCAGCCCAGCCCATTTGATAGCTGCCAGAAGAAAAAGGTCCCTACAGTTCCAAAATTCCTAAGGGTCCGTCCGGTAACGTTTTCGGATAATGTTTTCCGAGAATATATTCAAAAAATGAAAATCAGAAAACGAATTTGCAGTTTCAAGATTCGAGAATATGTCTGGTACACTAACTGGAAAACATTTTCCGAGAACGAAAACAGTAAAAACGTGTCTAATATGAACATATGAAAATGAAAAAAACACTGAATATGCGTTCGGCATCAGTATTGTAAAAATTATTTTCAACATCATAAATCAAATATTTTCTGTAGCACATATCTTATCAGACTTATTAATAGGTCAAAAAATTCTTTAAAATTGTGCAATTGTCTAATTAATTATCATTATCTAATACATGCTATCTAACCCAAAATGGTCTCATGTCCTCCAAGATATCACCCTACATCATAGATCAAATCTCTCATACTCTCTCAAATATCTGAAAAATATGCAATTTAAAATTTAAAATTATGGTCATGCTAGGGAGACCATCTTTAGAGACCACCTTGCGTATCATCTCTCTACGCATCTCTCTCTAATAGAGGTAGAACCCACCAATACAATAGGTTCCACCTCTATTAGAGAGATAATACACAAGTTTGACTCTAAAGATGGTCTCCCTAAATTTTGGCTCTTGCTAGTTTGTTTTTGCGTTGTGTTTCTATTTTGTGCATTTTGGCTTGTACCCGTTTAAAAGATTACCCACAGGCAAACTTAAAGATCTTGTTTTAGAATTACTCAATATCAGGGCTGAACTGATGAATGGTTAACAATCCTGCTGAGTTTTAATTACAAAAGCTACCGGATTAAATCATCAAACTCGGAGGGGTAAAATATTATTGAGAACAGTAAGTAGGCCTCGGCCATTACATAAACGTCCATATATCATAAAAATTATACACTTCGACATAGATAAATTAATCTTGTTGCTCATTTGAATCAAACACACGGTTTTTGCATGTAGGATTGCAAGGGTAAGCACAATCTATCTTCTGGAACGGAGTACGGTCGTGGTACCAGTCTCCAACTGCCTTCCCAATTGGCTGCAGAATACATTTAGGTTGTAGATAAAATTTAAAACCAACTCAGTAATTTTCGTTCAAACAGAGTCAAATGAAACCAAGAACTACAAAAATTGACAACAGAGAGCTATTCTCAATTTTTTGTTAATTGAAGACTACATGACTCTTACCGTCTTACTCAACACCGGAGAGTCGGCTGCCAACCATGTCTCCTGTGTTCCAATCTGGCAGTGGGCATAGCAAGAGTCTATGAACAGTCCATGAGATATGGAGTTGCTGGCAGGACTAAGTGCGCCTAAGAACTGCAACCGATATTCTGAAACAAATTCCATATTAAAAACCCAAGTAAATTTTCCAGCGGCCGGTTTATGCCAATGATGCAATACATAAGATGCTTTCTTGGACAAGAAGCTTTCCTTGGTAGGTACAAGGAAGCTTCACTGGAAAAAGTAGGACTCAATAACATAGCAATCAATTTCAACTCATATGTCTTGCTAATAAGTTGACATAACCGTTTGTGGTTCCATGCTTTCATCAAATTGCTTATTATCATCTAAAGACTAAAGGGAACAGGCAGCAGTGCATGAGACCCTAAGAAACTCCAACCATCAAATTTTACTATGACAGAAAAGATTTAACCAAATTCAAATCTTGGTTTAAATTTTCACAAGGGCTATAAAGGATTCTATCAGCTTCAATCTGTGAAGGATTGCTTGCTGGTATGGAGGAGGGTTTTGATATTCACCTTGCATGGTTTGAAGTTGACTGGGTGAGCAGTTCTTTATATCAAGCTTGCACTTTTTCCAGGCGCCTTTAGGATCAGCAATACCCGGTGCCAAAATGTTCTTTATCTGAATGGATACAACAAGGAATCAGAGAAGGTGCCAAAATGTTCTTTATCTGAATGGATACAACAAGGAATCAGAGAAAGTGCACGCTAACGTATTCTCCTAATGTGCACAAGTGGGGGAAAAGAAAAGATGAGAACGAGTACACAACATTTGTATTGGAAATATATACATTTCTAGTAATCGTTGCTTTTGGAGTCTCATAGCAAAGTTCAGGTGACCTACTACAAGTCTACAACTATTTTTATTTTCATACAATTCTAGAATAATAAGATAGAATATGTGACAACTGAAATAATCATAGCCCCATTTTCCATGAAATTGGTTCTTGAATTAATATTGTTCTTTGTCTCACCAACAAAGAAAGCATAATAAATTCTATTCTTACAACCAAAGTTCCTGTAGTGAGCCAAAACAACAACAAATTGTTATCGAGCCTACAAAGGAAAGCAAAGCAAAGAGACTCGATATGAATGATGAAAGGCTAAGTTGTGTTAGGGAGAATCTGAGTTTATTCTAGGAAATTAGATAAAATAAAATATATTACGAATATATATAATTTGGACGAAAAGAAAAAACTTATTATGAACCAAACTATTACTCAGTTTTATATTTAGGGTAACAGATAGACGATATATATCATATATGTCATTAACAAGTTGTTGGAATTTAAAATTTTGATCATAAAGATGATATGAAGTATTTCAACCTGCATACAATTAAAAAGTTGTTGGCATCACATTTTTTTGATAGGCACACCAAAAAAAAAAGGGAAATGGCAGCACATGTTCTATATCATTTTTAGAACAGAAAAAAAAGAACTAGAAAGAAAAGTACTACAAGATACAATAAATTGGAAAGTAGTGTTCTATAAATCAAGGATTAGAAGAATGAGCTAACCTGCCACGAATCATAAGCTGCATTTACCAAAAATATTGGGGTCCGGGTCACTGGTACCACATTTTGTGGGAAGAAGCACTGAACAAAAACAATTAAAAAGGAAATATCAGAAGTAATTAGGAAAGAGTGGAGCAAATCATACAAAACTATAAAAATTTACCAAGCCTGGACTCAATTTTGAAGTGCAGGATGCGGGTAAGTTCTTCGCCGAACCCTGCACAAACAATAGATAATCAGAATCTGAAGCTACTACTTATCACCTGCACAGAATGGAGGCCTAACAAATGGAAGAACCCTCTTCTCCTGAAAGAAGTAAGAGGCCACTTTATTATCTTAAAGAACAGAGATGCAATACATGTAGCGCAACCACTTCACTGTAAAAGGCTTGAATGTGTTGAGATCCAGAAACAGTCTTCCTGTGAATCATTACAAGGTGTTAAGAATTCTGAAATAGATTAGAGATAATATTGGGTCAAGTCTTCAAGACAGATAATATAAAATACATCTTACGCATTAATGAAGTAACCAGCATCTGCCAGACATTTTACTTTAGTACCCACAGGTAGGAGAGAACGAAAGTTATCGCAATTAAGAATTGAGGTCAATCCACCGGCCGAACAACCAGAGAGAAGAGCCTGTAATCATAAGTAGTACTAACAAACAATCAGAAATGTGGACAAGATGACAAAAGTACAGTTCCTGGAATGGGACATACACTTTGGGCACTTTTCATTCCTTTTGCTAACAGATCATCAATGATGGCACGAAAAACTCTTGCTCCTCTGAAGTGAAGATTTGTTGCCTGATCAAATTAGTAGAATAAACACTAGGTTCAGAATTTCTTATGATAGTAAAACATGGGTCGCTGATTGAAATTTATTAACTTACTGGGTTTACTGCTTCAACATCACCAGTGAATGACGCCCCATCACAGTACCTAACTTTGATTCTATTCCAGTTATAGAAGTCTAGCATAAAAATAAAAAAGGGTCCAGTTTTTACAGTTGGCCACAAAAAAACAAAAGAAGAAGAAGAAATTCAAACTAAAAAACAATAGGTATGTTCATCAACTATTGAGTCATTCTTAGGAGTTGTTTCAAGTTTCAAAAAAGCAAAGATTGAGATATGAAGGCAAACCAAACCTGGATTAAACTTTTGCTTGTTGCTAAGCACCCCAGAAAAAGACATCGACTTTTCCATTTTGTTTGATGAACCATAGTGAGTATTCTTACGATCAAGGCAAGTCTCAACACTGTTACACCATCCTCCTCCCTAAGAACCAAATATCAATTAAAGAAATCTCAAACTTCAATGCAAAAGTCTTTTACAACTAGTTTACTAAGCTAATGCTTGGTACCCTAGTGGCATGACCAACACCCTAGTTCAAGATCCCAGGTCCAGACCTGGACAACAGTATAGTGAGGAGAGGCATATGGGAGGGAAAGGGCTACCCCATATTTTGTAGCCTATTCTTTTCTATAGGCCCCCCAAAAAAGGGGGAGTTACTAAAGGTTAAGTTCACAGCCTTCTAGAAAATATTTGACTAATATTATACCATTCAGAGGCCATAATGTATAAGCTCAGACGTAATATACAGATTTCTCTTCTCCAATAATCTATTCTAAGCTCCCTCTCATTGACTAGAAGGTGGAGCTGGGAGAACACAAAATGGTTTAAGATTAACATTCCCACCCTATCCTTTCTATCTTTTTTATTTTGGTGAAAGCTATCCTTTCTATCTTTTAAATCCATTTTAACATGGCAGGAAAATGACAAACCTCAACATGAACCAACCAATTGTTGATTCCTGCACCAAATCCCTTGTCAAAGTGGTACGCTGGTGCGCTCCCATCCAAACAAACTGTATAACATGTCAAATTTTAGAACACAGAGTGAAAAGTAAAAACAACAATAAAATACAGTTATTGGAACAATGAAAACTAAAAGGAAAGTGAAATGGAACAAGGAAACTTTTTAGAGAAGTACTCAATTCCCCAAATATTTCTCACCGGCTCCTTTGGCAACTGCATTCTCAACAAGAGTGATTCCCACAGGATGGCTTTCTGCTTTCAGCAATATCAGTAAACATACTAGAAGACTTAACCATTGGCCTAATCTTGCATGGGCCATTCTGCACACAAATTTTAGCAATAAATATAAAAATAAAATAAAAAGAGTATACAGAACATTCATTTCATAGCTTAATGGTAGACTTAGTTTTCCCCTACATAACAGTACCATAAGTTCCTAATAGAATGCAATACTCAAAACTAAAAAGTTTTCTCTTTACTCAATAATCTATATCTAACTTATAAAGTATAACTCCATAATTCATATAATTGTTTAAGGACCAAACAAGTATCATCATTTTTTTTTCTTTTAAAATTCAAGGCAATCTAGTTTACTTAGCAGTTTCCTGTCATAGCTAGCACCCCAATACATCCAGCCAAAAAGTAATCCACCAAACAAATTTTCTCTCACTTCACATTGCTTAATGCGAAAGGAAGAGCAACACAGGGATTTTTTTAACCTTTACTCTGTACTAATAAGAGCATAAAGTTAGCTAATCAACCAGAATCCAGTTCCATTTTGAACCAACACCATCCGTGCAGTCATTCGATGGAAAACCCAAATTTGAAAAATCAATATATACAAAGAAAGAGAAGAAAAGAAATCCATTTAGCAACTATATACACATACAGACACAAGGAAAAGAAAGCAGAGCAAAAGACTGGCACATTACTAGATCATCAATTCCAAATCTTAGATTGAAAATTCTATCAAACAAAGAAAAAAGATCTGAAATTGCAAACTATTGTTCTTCAGTTCAGAATCCTTTTTCTAGCCAAAGCGACTATTGATATCTGTTTAGCCATTAAGTCTAATCAGCTTGATGGGTTTTTTATGCCAAAACCCAAACTGCATTCAGCTCATATGAGACATTCCAATCCAATCTCAAGCACCAAGTTTCATTACACAATGAACAGAAACTGAACCAATGTTTGAAAATAAGCTCGACCCTGGAAACCAAATAAAGAAGAAGAAAAAAAAAGTAAAACAGAACAGCTTCTTTCGATTACCATGAAAACCAAAAGCATTATTACTCTGTACCTGGAATGAGAGAAGCTGAGAGACAAAAATCTGAAAGAGTGAAAGAATGCAAGAGAGAGAAACCCAGTTGTGAACTTGGGTTTCTTTCTTAATGGTATGAGTAACGGTAGAGAAAGCAATAGCAGGAAGGAAAATAAATGGAAAGTGGGATGAGTGAGGTGAGCGTGAGGGAAGCTATTTGATACACACACAGTTTGGAAAGTGAGTTATCGCGGACGAAGAGCTTAGCTTTACAGAGAGCTTTGAGAGTTATATTTATTGTAGCGATTCGGAGAAGATAAAGCTAAAAGGCGATATTATTGGTAACAGCTGCAAAGCAAAGAACCAATGACTAGGACAAATCTTGTCGGTGAACGCGTGTTATTAAGACGAGTGTCTCTGCGTTATACAAGATAGCATATGCCTAGAAACTTCATGCACGCAAGATAATGTAGCAAATTTTTTTTTTTTTTTTAATTCAAAAGATTACAACGACTGATCTTAACACCATACCCTATATATCAAATTTTGAATAAGATATACGGAAAATGACTGAGCTCGTTGGCTAGTGGTTGGTTAGTGGTATTTATTACCTGAAGAAGATTCAACTTCGACTCACAATGAAAATGATATATTTATGATGAGTCAGATACTTATTCCAACTCTTCGATTGAAATAAATATCAAATTTTTAATTCTAATAGTGTTTTTTATGTGTTGGTCTATTTTGGCTTAATATCACAAAACGTCCCTAAGGTTTACGAAACTATCAAATTGCATCCTTAATTTTATTTTATTTTTTGTCATTCGTGGTCCTCAAGATTAGTATGTGTGATCACAAATGGTCCCTACTGTTAGGTTCCATAAAAAAACTCTGTTAGCTTGCTGACGTAGTATATATATATATATATATATATCACAAAACATCCATGAGATTCACTGACATATCACAAATGGTCCTTGTGAAATTTTATAATTTAAAATTCATAAAAAAAATTTAGTTTTCTTTTTAAAATTATTTATATATATATATATATATATATATATATTGTATTTTAAATACACATGACAGTATATTTTTGAAGATGTGGGCTCCACATATATTCCACATCAACAAACTAATGAAGTTTTTTTTTAAATAATTTAAATTTTATAAAATTTAAAAATGAAAAAACCATTTATAGTTGGATTTTAACCTTGAGGACCATTTATGAACCCTAAACCCTTGGTTTTTTTCATTTTTAAGTTTTATGAACTTTAAATTATTATATAAAAACTTCATTAGTTTGTTGATGTGGCATATATGTGGAGCCCACATCTCCAATAATATAGTGCCATGTGTATTTAAAATACAATATATATTTTAAAATAATTTAAAATTCATAAAATTTTAAAAAGAAAACTAAAATTTTATGAATTTTAAATTAAAAAATTAAAAAATTTCGCAAGGACCATTTGTGATAGGTTCGTAAACCTCAGGGATGTTTTGTGATATATATATATGTCACGTCAGCAAACTAACGGAGTTTTTGACGGAACCTAACGGCAAGAATCATTTGTGATTACATTACATATACTGACCTTGAGAACCACACACGAATGATACAAAAAAAACATTAAGGATGCAATCTGATAGTTTCGTAAACCATAAGGATGTTTTGTGATACTAAGCCGTCCATTTTTAACCATATTTTGCTTTACCAAAATTTGGGAAATTTTTTTTGTGCCTCGACTAACATTCAAAATCTAAACGCATTTTCTTCTTCTTTTGTTTTCCCTTTCTCTTTTGTGGTAAGATTGGAAATAGTACATACCAAAATCTCAAATTTTTGGATTTAGGCTTCACATTCAAGACTAAAAGTCGAGCTGACGGTATTCTAAAGATAAATCATTTTTTACAATTACCTACCACAAATTTAGAAGTTTTAGTGACTACACATTATTATTATTTTTTTGTTCAAGAGTGACTACACATTATGCTCACTTGATAATAAAGCGATCCTCAAACTTACAACTGATTGGTCTAAGGATAACCATTCCCGGACAAGCATGTTGGGAAGGAGAGGAACATCCAATGTGGGTTGCCATGCAAAGTTGAGAATTTAAAAAGTTGGGTTGTTTGGCTTTTGTTTTGTCATGTCCTTGTTAATAATGTCATTCTCCAAGTGAAGGATTGATTTTTCAGTATAAAAATAGGGGAGATTCACTATTATACCCAATATAGGGTTCAAATTATAAAATAAAGAAGGCTTAATTATTGATATGCCCCATGTGCTTCACTAAAAATCTCACTTTGCCCCCTACACTTCAAACTGAGTCAATATGCCCCATGTTGCTTATTTTTGTGTCCCCCGTTACCCCCTTTCGTTAGTTTGGTCAGTAAAATTGTTAACTTGCTTACGTAGCATGGGTATTTTAGATATTTTAACTATTAAAAATTTTCAATTTTTAAATTAAATTTAAAAAAACTATTTATAAAATATTTTAATAATTAGAAAGTTCTTTTTAAAAAAAAAATATTAAAGCCCCTAGCACCCGAATAGCCCCACCACCACAACAACCAAACCCTTCCCCACCGGCACCTGCTGCCCCCAACCTATGGCCACCACTCCATCATTGTTCAAATATGATATCCCCACCTAGGTGATGCACCCACCCCAAACCATTAATAATAATCAATCCCAACACACCTAGCCACTTTCAACCCCCAGCCATACTCACCCCGAGTTAACACCCCAAACCCACACCCAACCTCACAAATCCAATCTGCCTCAAGCTGTAGCCATCCCAACAAATTACCCGAACGCCAAAACCCCAAGGCGCAAGAACTTCTCTTATCTTCTCCAACTGGGTTTGATTTGATTTCATGCTTGTCATTTTCACATATTCTCTGTGCAGCCATGAGGGTTATGCGATTGGAGTTTATAAACAGTAAACTCATATTGAAGAACTTTATTTTGTTTTTTGTTTTTTTACCATGGCGGAGGAGAAATCAGGGTGGCAAGATGGGGAGGGAATGGTAAGCATGGGTTGGGGGTGGTTGTTGGCAATGGGGAAGGGTTGGGTTGTGGTGGTGGGGGCTATTCGGGTCCTGGGGGATTTATTTTTTTCCCTCTTTTCTAATTTATTTGATTATTAAAATGTTTTAAAATTGTTTTAAAATTTTGAGAATTTTTAATAGTTAAAATTACTAAAATACCCATGCCACATCAGCAAGTTAACGATTTTACTGACCAAACTAACGGAATGAGGTAACGGGGGACGCAAAAATAAAGCATAGGGGGCCTATTGACTCAGTTTGAAGTGTAGGGGGCAAAGTGAGATTTTAGGTGAAGCACAGGGGGCATATCAATAATTAAGCCAATAAAAAAAATAGATTATTATAAATAAACCCAATCCTAGACATATATTTATAAAAAAACCCACATACTATTTAAACATAGAAACACACCCAAAATTAACCCCAAAATCAACAATTGTATATTTTTTGGGTGTGTTTATAAATGGGTTTTGAGTGTGTGTAATGATGGGTTTTGGGTGTGTTTATAAAGTGTTTTGGGTGTTGGGTTTTTTTATAATTTCAGCCCCCATTTTGGGTGTTTTAGTGAAACTCCCTAAAAAAAATCCTATAGAAAATGGACTTTAGAAACACACCCAAAGCTCATTTACAATATAACAAAGAGGCTTTTAACTTCTTATAAATTACAAAACTGCCATCGATTTCTTAAAACAAGCCCAACTCTAAAATCTCATAAAAAAAACACAAAACACTCAATAGGGCATCAAAGTAATTTAATAATCAAAATTAAATTAAATAGTGCCAGCTGTCGTTTTTTGGGATTTTTTTAGGTTTGTTTATAGAAATTAAGTGGTGTAGGGTTTATCTATAGAGTGCTGCTAAACGAACCTTAAAATTAACTGAGTACACCCTATAATCTAAGTACACCCTAATATTTTAATTAAAATGTAAAATTAACTAAGTACACCCTATTTAACTATCAAAAATACCTCTGATACACCCTAATACAATCTATCACACAACACCCTAATTCCAATCCTAAATCAAGTTTCTCTTTTTACATAAATTCGTTGCCTCTTTTCAGATTTTGGGTTTGCATCAAAATCTTTAATTTCATGAGCTACAATGGGAGTAGATTTGCTAACTCCTTCAATTCAAAGCTTCATCATCTTACTTCTCTTTTCAACGGTGTTTTAGTGCACATGCACACAACAAACAAACTGAGTTATAAGGAAATCAAAGTGTGCATAATTTTAATTTCCAATAAGACAATAAAATAAGATTTTATTTGTTTATTTTTATCTATGTTGCTATTTGCCTTTCTTGGAGATCTGTGCATTGAAGTTTCTCTTTCATAATTCTCCTATTTCTCAGCTGTGCATACTCTCCCATAACCCATTACAGGTTTGCCTTCACTTTAACTCATGGGACAAACCATTAGGTTCAATATTCATGGCTCTGTTATCCTTTTTCAAATAAATGATTTTCATCAAGATTGGTGGGCAAAGAAGCGGGGTCAAACTCAAAGGATTCTTTCGGAACACCATCTCATTCATCATCAGTCATCTTGAATGACGGAATTCAATGAGAAAATCTGTATAGCTCATTGGGTGGTACTTGAAACAAGATCCTTGTACTAAAACAGACTGACAAATCATTTTACTGGAACCAAGCAATACGAAAACTTCTCTAAGTTTGATTAGGGCTGAATATGGTGAGTATGGTGTACTTATTAAATTTGTATTTGTTTCACAATTCAATACATCCTTTTTCGTCATTTTATATTAGGGTAAATTATTAATTCAATAAATAGTTTGGTAGTGTGGTGTACTCAGTTAATTTTAGGGTTCATTTAGCAACACTCTATTTATATCATTAGTGCTATTAATGGGTATATAATTAAATATGTCTAAAAAAAAGACTCATATTTGAATCAAGATGGAAGAATGCGAGTACAATTTAGATTTTGATGATCGATTACATAAACAATGAGGGAAGACACCCAGCACACAGGTTTTTGTGCCATGGTGAGCTTTCATTATTTTCATATAACTTGATGAATTACCTTCTTTTTTCCTTCTTGTTCGAGATAATTTAAACTATAAACCTAGCTAATGAAAATGATATATTTTTGTCACGCAAATGAATGTTAATCTATTGTTCTAGCAGGTGCTGGTTTGGATCAAAAACACGGTTATGGCAAGTGGGATTGCAGGGGTAAGGGCAATCTATCTTTTGGAACGGAGTTCTGTCATAGAACCAGTTGCCAACTGCCTTTGCAATTGTCTGCAGAACAGGTTTTTTACACAGTTAAAATTAGATTTTATTTCAAGTCAAAAATAGAAAGAAAAAAGAACTGATAGAAACATGAAGAAGTGAAAAAAAAGCCAGGAAAAAAGTGGATGAAGAGTTTGGTTTTTACCGTCTTGTTGAGCACCGGAGAATCAGCCATTAACCAAGTCTCCTGCATTTCAGTTTGACAGTGAGCATAGCAAGAGTCTATGAACATTCCTTTTAATGGACAGCCGGTCATGCCACCAATTGCACTTAAAAACTGCACCCTGAAATCTGAAAAAAGGAGAAAATTTCCTTGGAGTTGTTGTTCATGTTTCTTTCTAAAGGGTCATGAAGGTTCTTATTTTTTAAGTTGAAATCTTCTAATTTCGAGATTTACCTTGCATGGCTTCAAGTTGAGTGGGTGAGCAATTCTTTATATCAAGCTTGCACTCGTGCCAAGTGCCATGAGGATCGGCAACTCCCGGTGCCAAAATGTTCTTGATCTGCATGGATGGATGGAGACACAGTGAAATGAAGATGAAGATGAAGAATAAGAGAAATCCCAGCTGAAATTTTGTATTCTTTTCTTCAAAACAAAATTGGTCTAGTTGTTAATTCATCCAAAACACTTAAATAAGGAAGATGGATCATGAAAAAACTATCCTGCTAAACAGAACATAAATTTGAGGAAACAATTTAACAGAGTTCATAACAGAGAAGAGAGTCAGGGAGTTAAGCTAACCTGCCATGAATCGTAGGCTGCGTTTACAAAGAATATCCGCGTCCGGATTTGGGATGCCATATATTGCGGGAAGAAGCACTAAAGTGTTGTTGAATATGATCAGAATTTACAAGTCACAAGGATATAGTCAAAAGTGAAAATCATAACAAGATAGCAATACTCACCAAACCTGGTCTCAATTTTGAAGTGCAGGATGGAGGCAAATTCCTGGCTGAACCCTACAAAAGATGATAATCACAAATGAGTATTGATGTTTGCACCAGATTAGAGAGGGAGAGAGAGAGAGAGAGAGGGAATACATGTGTTTCAACCACTTGACTAAAGAACTCTTCGATGTGTTGGGCTCCAGAAACATCCTTTCTGTTATTCAGTATAAGGTGTATGTATAAGTAAACTCTCATTGTAATTTGGAATATAGGACAAAGCTAGAAGGTAATAAATGTGAGCTTACACATTAATAAAGTAACCAGCATCTGAAACACATTTGACATTCGTTCCGACGGGCAAGAGAGCATGGAAGTTGTCACAATGAAGAATAGAAGCCAATCCACCGGCAGAACAACCAGAGAGAATAGCCTGTAGTCAAATGTCCTAACAAGTCATCAGAACTGAAGATAACAGAAGTGAAATTGGTGATTGTTAAGGGATCATACATTTTGAGCGTTCCCCATTCCTTTTGCTAATAGATCTTCAATGACCGCACGAAAGATCCTTGCTCCTCTGAAGTAAAGACCAGTATCCTGCTCAAATTGTTATTTTATTGAAAATCCCTCCATCAGAAAAAGAAAATGAAAGGTAGTGTATATATATACACAATTTCTAGTGTATGTAAAACTTGGACTGCTACTTGAATAAGTAACTTACTGGGTTTACTGCTGCAACATCACCAGTGAATGATGCCCCATCGCAGTACCTAACTTTGATTCTGTTCCAATTGTAAAAGTCTGGCATTGGAAACATAATTTTTGTTTTACTGTTAAAAAGAAAGGGAAGCTCAACAGACAAAAGAAAATTAAAGCTATGTTGATCAACTACTAAGCCTTTAATTGAATAAATTCTTTCTAGTAAGTTGTAAGCAAAAAATAGATATCAAACCTGGATTAAACATTTTCCTGTTGCTCAGAATCCCAGAAAAGGCAATTGCCTTCAGCATTTGCTTAGATGAACCTAAACGAGTGTTTTTACGGCCAAGGCAAGTTGTGACATTGTTACACCATCCTCCTCCCTAAGAACCAAACAAAAAGAAGAATTAATATGACAACAGAAATATATACTATCAAATATTTGGATTTTCATTAAAATTTATATTAGAACTTGTTAAATCTACCAGTAAATCCTTCTGGATCACCAGAACTGACTGAAAATTGCTATTACTATACCTTCTTTTCTTCTCTCTTTTATCTGGCGAAAGAAATTGTAATGGAAGCAGAGAGAAAAGGGCAAACCTCAATGTGAACCAACCAATTGTTAATTCCTGAGCCAAATCCCTTATCAAGGTGGTAAGCTGGGGGACTCCCATCCAAACAAACTGCAAAGTATGTCAAATTCTAAGAGCTAAATTGGATATAAAAAGAAATTATCTTATTTTCAAATTGAACACTTAAAAGAAAAGGACTGTAATCAGCATATTTGCATTAAGTTTCTCACCGGCTCCTTTGGCGACCGCACTCTGAACATAAGTTATTTCCACAGGAACTCCTGCTGCTTTCAGCAGTGTGACCGCACATGCTAGAAGAAATAACCATTGGCCTAATTTTGCTTCAGCCATCTGCCCCTGTCAAACATAGAAATTAATATACCAACAATTCTAAAGTAAAAAAAAAACAAAGAAGACAAGGGAAACAGAACATTTCATTTTGAAGTAATCTCTTGAAGATTGAATATTGCTTGTGGCTTGAAACTTTAAAATCTAAAAAATTTCTGTCAAGAATCTATGGATAATAGATCTATCATGTATGTAACATATATATACACACACATAAATAATTCAGCAGAACTTATTTATAAAGAGAAAGAGGAATCAACAAAAGCAAGGCAATCTAATTTGAAGGCTTATCATCAAAACCAAAAATTCCACCACATTCAACTAGAAGCCATCCTGCAACCCAGTCTAAATATCAGCCTTGGTATTGCTTAATGCTCAAGGATGAGCAACAAAGAGCTTTTCCAACTTTTGCTCCTTTGCACGGTCTCAAGGTTCCGCTAGCATAAAGTTGGTTAATCTTATAAAATCGGCTCCTTTTAGATTAAGATTACTTTTGTTTGTTCATTTCTACATACAACATACACACACAAAAGGTAAAGTTAAAAAGGAAACAAAAACAGAGCAGTGAAGCAGACCATTCAAAAGTAATCACACAATAACCAAATAGATTGGAACATAACAGCTATGTAAGACATTCAAACATTTCCAAATCTAGAAGGTAAAAGTGATTCCTCATCATCCCAGAATCTATGGCCTAAAATAAGTAATCATTGATACATTTTTCGAATAAGAACCAATTTGGTTCAATCATTTTCCTGAGACATTTCAATCCAGTCTGACCAAAAACAACCCCATCTTTCATATTGCATCAAACTACACAACTCACCCATCGTTCAATGAAAAATCCAAGTTCAACCGGAAAAAAAAAAACCCGTTAACCAATTTATATGAAAAGCACAATAATCAACAACATTATCTTGTAAATGTATAAGTTGACAAGAAACATTACCAACCACACTTAAATACAGTCAAAAAAGAAAAGGAGAAGAGAAAAGAAAAGCATGAACTGATGAAATACAATGAATGCAATAAATATATATATACACACAGAATGTAGATGGTTGTTAATCATACAAACAAGAAAAAGTGGATCTAAAATAATTAAAAAGCTGACCTTTACAACAGAAACAATAACCCATTATTATGAAGAACCCAAAAATACCACTATGTATCATGTATGTACCTGAACGAAAGAGAGGAAGAAGAATGTGGAAGAAACCCAGTTCAGTACATTGAGTTCTTATGCCGAAACAAAAGAAAACTTATGCGTTGATGGGTTTGAGGAGCAATGGCAGCTAGATATATAAGAGCAGAGAGCTCAAAGCATTAAATTGAAATAAAAATGGTGGAGAGGAAAAGACAGAAACTTTTATTTGTGTTTCGTTCTTTGTATGCAGAGAGTGAGAGCGTTTTACGAAAGATTAGCTCTTTCCAGTTTTTGAGCAGAGAACCCAAGAGCCGACACTTATATTCGCTCCCTTCCAAAGAAAGAGGGTTAATGATTGGATACGGGTTCCGGTTTGTGTCTGACCCGAATGGAATAACCCGACTCAGCTGCAAAGTAAAAGCCTACTGGTAAAAAACTACAAGGAATCTTATCAACTCACGCGTTGTTTTATAAGGATTTCCTCTTTAACAAAAAAACCAGAATGTCTTACTTGCAAATTGTAGTATTTTGTATAAAATGTTATGTTAGAATAGGTCTATTTTTCGTGACTTAAATCCGTTGACTGTACTCTAACCAAGCAAATTTCCTTAATTTACTTGATGAGTCAAATTTTGTATTTTTCTCTCCCCAAAATATTCCTATTAAATTTAAGTTACGTTTTAGTTATTTGCTTTTTGTGGTGGAATTCAATACCAATTTGTCTCTAAGTATTGATTAGATGTTTGAATTTCAAAGTGGCTTGTCAAAATGGCATAGATTTTTGGATTTGATGGGTCAATTGTTATCCAACGTAGACCAATTAGGTGGAGACCAATACCAATAGACCAAGGTAGTTGGTGAAGATTGTTATACATTTTAAAGACAAATTTACTCATTTGTAAAATGACTTCTAAGAATTTAGGGAAAAATCCTCAATTCATGTAACTCACCTATTCTACCTTTTGACAAAAAGAAAAGAAAAGGCATACGACTCCTCATATTAGACTAAAAAACTAAAAGATCCAGAAAATCAAAATATTAGACTAAAACATATATCCAGTCCGTCAAATACAACTTGATCCTCTTTATATCTCAACTACTAATGATTAGCAAAGAAAATTTGCTTGAATTAATAATTAAAGGGTACTTTAGGAATAATGATGGGTGAAAAGATAGAATTGTGTTTTTTGTAATTTGTAAAATTTACATTGTGGATGGGAAAATAACATGGGTGGAGAAATAGAACGTGGGGTAGAAATTGCGGCACTCTATATAAAATTAGGAAAACTTTTATCTTACATGGCATGCTATTCAAAGTTTGGATTTTCTTTAGAAGTTAAAAAAAATTGGTGGCATGTCTAGAAACGTGTTCTTGCCTTCTGAACTTTCAAAGCACAACAATTATGAAATTTGAGAATTTAATATAAATAAAACAAAAAATTTTACACATCGATGTGGAATTTAAAACGATTAATGATCACATTGTCAAATTTGCGATAAATTCCTCCAATACCAACGAGTATATCCCAAACATATGTCACACACCAAGTTTTGATAAGAGAAGGAAAAAAAATTACCCAATTTTGTAAAAAAGGAAAAAACTAATCCTACAAATCCCAAAATCTATGCAAAATTGAAACATCATTATCCAATTCAATTCAAAAACATAATATCAATGGCGTGTTAATTGGATTGGTCCAGGTTTTTGGTGTGCTCCCAAGTGGTCCTGGTTCAAGCTCTCATGATAATTGTGTGTGTGAGTAGGACCGTAAAATATAATTAAGATGATATTGGGGGGTCCCCATTCCAAACAGACAGACAAAGATAATGCAAACTAATTAAAGAGAAGTAGAAGTCAAACTGGACAATAATTCATTTCAGTCTTCTATCAGCACACCAATTATCTAATTATCTTTCCACGACTAACCCTAAATACCATTCTTATTTTATTAGTGACCAAAGAAAAATAACTCATTAAATTCTTTTCTTTATAAAACACTGCCAAAATTGGGTAGAAAATTTTTGATAAAAAAAAGCCACTATCATGATTGTTGTGTCCTATGTTTGTAATAAATTCATGTTGTGTCACTCTTTAAAAAAAAATTACTATGTTCCTTCAAGAAAGTATAATAAATGAGTCTCCAAAGGAGGACATTGACGTTGAGGGAAAAACTTACTAGTGGGGGAGAAGATGAGTTCCGGAAGGAGTTGCTCAAGATTCTTATATGACTTTGTACAAACTTTATAAATTTTCTCCGATAAAGTTTTGGTGCATGGGTTGATGAAGACTTGGACTGCATATTTGTAGCTAAAGTATGCTTGAGGAGGAGAGATATTGTCCAAGGGTCAAGTTTGTGTGGTATCTAACTTGCTATGGTGATGGGCACCTTATGGTGCATTGAGGAGATAGTGATGTCCGAGGATGCTCACTTCAAGGTGGAGGTTCACTAACATTTCACAAAGGTGCAACTTGTCGAAAATTGTGGCTCAAGTTAGTTCAGGGCTGTGGATCAGGTTATCCACAAGATGAGTTATTGATCAGTTCATCTCGATACTCATTTTCAATGTAAATTTAAGCAAACGGAATAAATAATAGTAATAATTGATTAAATTATTACAAGATTAGTCTTATAGACCGGAAATTATAATTGAGTATGCTTGACTATATTTTCATTTTTTTTTATAAATGAGTTAAAATTATTCATTTTCCAAAACTTAGCGGGAAAAAGTTAACCAGCCATTAAAGTCAATGTAACCAAAAAAAAAAATATTGATAAAAAGTTGACAACAAAAGCAGTTTTGTTGTCACTGTTCAAAGTGTTGGTTGGTGCATGGAGAATGAGAGGTTCATGGTTGGTTCTAATGGGGCCCACTTAGGGGTGGTGGATCTGTTGGAGTGGGACCCAGTCACGTGAATGGCGGTGATTAGTTGGTCCAGAATCAAATCGTTTGTGTGTTCACAAATGCACATGAGCAGCACATCAATTAATTTCTAATGTTCTAGTGCTACTTCCTAACATCCACTTTATGTAGTTTCAAAGCTGTCACCCAATGACGTGAATTTTTACTTTTTGTCTGGTGATGAAATTGTTTATTTAGAATTCGAATTAAGTATGCACACACTAACTAACTAGTTTTTGATTTAGTGATACTCGTTTCCATTTAGTTGGAGTAGGTCTCAAGTTTCACTCGCTCGAATAGAAAAAATAATATATATTTGTAATGAGTTCGATACTTACATAGTGATTATGTAGTTTTATTGTGGGTCCGTTGTAAAGTATTTTATAATTATCTTATTTTTATATAAAAAATTAATCAAACGAAAATAAAGAATTAAGTATGCCTAGAAAAATCCAGGATCCACATGCCACTACCATTGGTGGACACTTTTCCAAAAAGAACAGATAAAAAATTTAGACAAAAACCATTGGAGGACTTTTGTTGGATTTAGACAAAAATTTAGACAAAAAAAAGAATTAAGAGCAGATATTCAAGCCTACAATCTTGTCCAATCCAAGATGTTAGATGTAGGACTTCGCATCTTCCTTGCTGTATTTCTTTCATTAGCATTTTACTGTTTTTTTAATATAGGGAATTTCAATCCCTCTAGATGAAATTTTTTGGTGGTTATTTATCTAAGTCTCTGACTAATTTTACTCCATTTTCAATTACTTTTCTTTCTTGTTTTTGCCAAAGTTGAGAAGGAGAAGGGGCCTTTTGTACGCATACACTATTGAAAGGATGGGGTTTTTCGAACCTGAGATCATTGATATGCAAGTCAAAGCCCTTTTCCACTAGTTAACGTACCTTATTTAATCTTCACGAAGATTACACTATTGTTTTGGAAAGGGAGCAGTGGGTAATGTTAGTCGATTGCAAGCCCTTCCACAACTAGAGAAACTCCATTTTCACAACCATGTCATCTGCCTCCGTTGATCAAAACAGCCACAATTGCGCTGTGTCTAAACTACAGTGTAAAAAATTTGAGACAATAATTTTTTTATTCTTGAATAAGATGATTTTAGTAACATTACAACTGTTAGAATTATCTACATTTATTTTCGTTTTGGTTACATTGAAGGAGATTGATCTCTTTTTGGCAAAAAAAAAGTAAAGAGATTGATCTCTTGACCTATTAATATATCTTTTTTTTAACACAAGCGATAGAATTATTCTAAATTAATATAATATACAGAAAGGGAATTCCGGGAATTCGAGCCTGAGTGTAAGGGGACGAGCTCATTCCTGGATAACTAACCTAACCTACAGGCTACGTCAACTTGACCTATTCTTATCATAAACATGGATAGAACAGGGATACAAATGAAAAGGAAAGTTTGGCGATTATTGTTTCAATTATTGAATGGATAAGAGTCAAGAATTTGATAGGAAAATGTAATTTAGAGACAATTGATGGCTAGGGGTCATGTAAATGAAAATGAAATTTTGAGACAATTGAATGAGGACACATCAGTCAATTTCGTGGTGAGAAAAGAAATTGAATTAGTGGCTAAATTGTCGTACCCAGAAGAATCGTCTTGTTTTCAGAAAGCTCACATTAAATTCTTCCCATAATATATCAAAGGTGCAATGTTTTGATTAAATTCGTTTGACCTGGCAATATAATTTTGGTCCCACCTATGGTTAGCTCCTTCTAGCAGATAGAGATAGAGATGGGTCACCCAGTGAGATCATAATCTCACTTTTATGATATGCTAATGTAATTTTTTTAGCGTCAATGAAGTTTAGCCCAGTGAAAAGAACATTGACTTGCATATCAGTGGCAGTGATCTCAGGTTCAAACCTCCGTGACACCGTGGTAGTGTGTGTAAGAAACCCCTCTTCCGTTGTAGCTTATACTATCACTTGTATTAAAAAAATATACATACGTAATTTTTTAGCTATCATTCAAGTCATGCCACGTGTCGTGTAGCTCATAATCTGCCCAATTAAATGTATCAAAATGTGATGGCCAGCCACCGCTCTTACCTCTCATTACATGTGATCAGTTGGAGGTTAACATGTGGGGTTCAAATTATGACTGCAGAGATATATTCCTACCTAAAATGTCCTACCATGATATGATACCATGTGTTGATAGAAATGTACACCAAGGGTAGGTGTTATTTTGCCCATTTTAATATAGTTTGAGCCAAATTGATTGAAAATAATAATATGGGGGAGTAAGCGCCCAAAAAATGGAAATACAAAGCACCACTTGAGTAAGGTATTTACTTCTCTCCTCCTTTATTCCTTTTGTGCTTTTTCAAGTGCTACTTCTTGGAGCTACCAGACTCAACTTATTTTTATAAAAAATAAAATAAAATAAAATAAAAAATAAAAAATTCTTGCTGTCATCGTCAAGCCCCTCTTGGGAAAATCACATGACTTGCGTGACGGCTTCTCTGGACAATGGACAAGATAACGATCCGTTTCATCCATCCTTGATCCAACGCTTGACCCTGCCATATCAAGGAATGTGTTAAGTAAAACAAGTAAACTTTGTAAATGAGGGGAACCACACCATTCAAAAACACTGGGGAAAACATATGCTCATAGAGGCTACCATATTGGTAAAACATCAAACTGAGAATAAACAAATCAATAATCTTTTGGATTTTCTAATATAAATTAATTTAAAAACTCAGTACTGTATTTCTCCTATATTATAATTAACGACTACAAAGACAATCTGAAAGAAAGAAGCTAATTCATAACTTTCTCAAACACAGACTAAAAAGGCAAACCAGCACTTTTGGGGAACATGAGCTGGGATTTGGTACAGGTTAATTCAAAAATCAAGCAAGGAAATTATCTCCATATATAATGTAAAGTTGTAAACTGAGGGCCTTGGCATTCATAAACACCCAATTTATGAACTCATGATGGCCTATGTTGTTCTTCAGGAAAGGATGGCATGTTAGGTGCAAAGCTAATGTAGTCTCTTATGGCTAGTGATGATGCAATGTTAGATAGAAAGTATATCAAGGAGATGAGTAGAAGAAAGATCCATACAGTGTCAAGTACATCTTTGAGAGATCCTTCAGTCGAGCTACAGCAAGTCTGTGGAAAGTTGCTACCATGCCTAACCTAATGTTACTGAAAAAAAAATTATCCCAGCCGCTAAACACAACATAGACTTCATGTGGCCTCACCGGGTGGAGAATGCGTTGCATCAAGTTCATAACCATGAACAATTAATTCTATTCCAAAAAAAGAGCTTCTGACATAAAAGGGAATAAATTCCTCCAAAACCAGAAGTTCTGTATTACTTCTGACAGTTCGAACATCATCTGGAATCTAAAGGAAATAAATATTGTGATGATTATTTGTAAATGAGTGCATCGCGTCCAGGCCCCACACCAATGTAATGGACGGGTATGCCAACAAGTTCTTCTATCCTTTCCACATACTGGCGTGCAGCCTTTGGAAGGTCAGAATAGTTTCTGACAGAAGATATATCAGACTTCCATCCAGGCAATACTTCATATTCCACCTAAACATTGAAAAACAACAGCATCAACAAGAGTTTGTCTTTTAAGATATCAAAAATATCCACCCAAAAACACAGAAAAACAATAGCATCAACAAAAGTTAAACAAAAACTTCATCTTTAAAATATCAAAATATAAGCAGGGGCTTGATAACTCGAAAAAAAGAGAGTATATATTTAGCAAACGATAAACAGCATATCCAAATAGAAGGGAGAGGCGAGGGCATGCCTTTAACTGCTCAAGATCACGAAGGTCTGCAGGGAATGATTTTATTGGTGTACCATCAATTTGTTTGTAGGCAAAACCCAACTGAATTTCAAGAAGATCCGACAAAACGTCAAGTTTGGTGAGATTGAGAGAAGAAAAGCCATTAATCTGACAGCAGTATTTCAGTGCTGCTATATCAAGCCAACCGCAACGACGAGGGCGACCAGTGGTTGTGCCAAACTCCTGACCAGCAAACCTAAGGAGATCGCCCCCTTTACCCAAGATTTCTGTGGGAAAAGGACCAGAACCAACTCTTGTAGTGTATGCTTTCACCTACAGAGACGAACTTCAAGTTAGCAAACATTACTTCACCATCTCAATTGGCCTTTGTACTAAATGCAAGAATACATGTCATGAAAAAATAGATTTAGTTGGAGATACTGTTTACTCATGGAATTGATCCCTCTAACCCCATCTCATTGAGGCAATGTGAGGATGACAATGATGACACCAGTAAAATGAAAATCAATTACGCGACTACAAGAGTGACCTTCTACTTACCACTCCAACCAGATCGCCTAGAACTCTGGGAGCAATGCCAAGACCGGTGCAAATTCCACCGGCTGAAGGACTAGAGGATGTTACAAAGGGGTAAGTTCCAAAGTCAATATCCAACATTGTTGCCTGACCCCCTTCGACCAAAATCTTTTTCTTCTCAGAGATGGCTTCATTCACGACAAACACTGTATCTGCAATGAAGGGTTCCAATCTCTCAGCAAATCGCTTATACTTCTCAACTTCTTCTTTGAGCACATGAGGACCATAGTCAAAACCTTGGAATCTTGATGCCGCATCTGATAATAGAAGATCTAGCTTCTGAGGGAAAGTATCCATGTGCCTCAAGTCACTGACTCGAATGCCATTTCGGATAACCTTGTTAGAGTAACAAGGTCCAATACCTCTCTTGGTAGTGCCAATGAAAGATTTAGCAAGCTCATATTCTCGAAGCCCATCCACTACTTGGTGGAAATCGAATAGGAGGTGAGCACGATCAGAGACCAATATCCTTCCCTTGCAGGAGACTCCATTAGATTCAAGGCCATCAATCTCCTTAAAGAGACCAGGTAGATGCACCACAACTCCATTCCCAATAACACAAAGAGTCTCTTCATTAAGGATACCTGAGGGAACAAGGTGAAGTGCAAACTTCTTTCCCTCTGCATTGTAAATGGTGTGTCCAGCATTAGCTCCACCCTGAAAAGATACAAAAACCAATCAGGAAACCACAAAATTTGGCTATAGAAATGAGAGTTTTCTGTTACCTGACAACGAGCAACGATGTCAAAGTGTTGGGCCAAGATGTCGACAAGTTTGCCTTTACCTTCATCTCCCCACTGGCAGCCCAACACACCTGAGACCTGGGTTAGTGACTCAATTCGACTTAGCCCCTGGTTGGGGGACCCAGACACACTTAGAGATGAGGGAGGGGCAACTGAGGGCTTCACCGAGCATACCACAACATTTCTGGGACGCTGGAGGTGAATGGGCCCATGGTAGTGGGGCCCCAAAGAGCGAGGCTTGGAGAGTGGATTGGAGTCGAGAAATGTGAACGACGAGAGGTTGTTCATGGTGAACCGCTGAGGTGAGAAAGAAAATGTTTAATCAATGTCAATTCAAACTTAAAAGACATTGGTTTTAAGCAATTGAAGATAACACACATACAATAAAAAAAAATAAAAAAACAATGCTAACTATTATTATTAGGCCAATAAGAACAGAAGAACTGCGAACTTTACTCTAAACAACTAGAAAACATAAAAAATTGCAATCCCCTTTCTTTTTGTTGTGGGGTGGGAGAATACTAACATTTTGTATGATGAACGGTTAACAATAAAACATTTGAGTTGCATTAGGATTACAGTTAGCCAGACAGGTAAAATCAACCAAGACCAGAATTACAACAACAACAACAACAACAACAAAAAGCAAAAATTTCATTCTCATAGTACAGAAATCATTTTTTTGTAGACAAACTACATTTTTGTAAACAACCAACTTATTACTGATGACTTAAAATGTTGCTACTTAATTCTAAAACTTCGTACTAACCAACAGAACTGAGTGGGACAAAGTTGGTTGGTGGTCAGCTTACTTTAGAATAGAAGCTTCTGTAATTATTAGCTATGGCAATGAATCTCTCAATAGAAAAGTTAATCCCTAAACATCACCACTGCAAATACATAAGAAAGAAGAAATAAACCCTAAATTTTCAGCAGAAAAACTGGGAGAAAATTCATTTTGGCCCCTTGAGCACAAGTAGCAAATCAACTTAAAAATCTTTCTTTCTTTTTTTTTTTTTTTTTGGGTCAAAAATCTTTCTTTCTTTTGTGTTATAACTTTTCATCCATTCTGCATTTAGTGGTTGCAGAAAAAAGGAAAAATATACTCCATTGGGCATAAAACCAAACCCACCCAACTTAAATTCACCGTTTCTCATGCAATAGAAACAAAAGTGAAACGGCATAACAAATGAAAAAAAAAAATTGTACAGAGCTCTAGTCACTCAAACACGAAAAAGGAATCAATAATAAAACTTACAAAAATGTAAAATGCGAAAGGAGGAGGCAGCGATAGAACAATTAATACATCTAATCAACAAAAACCAATTACCAACCACACGACCAAGTAATTCAAGGAGCAGATGCAAAGTAAGTGAAGAAACAGATGCAGTTGAGAAGAAGATGAGTTAAGATAAAACAAATTATAAAAAGAAATACCTCGTGAAGCAGATGCAGTCGAGAAGAAGAGGCTGGACCTGGTGGAGCAGAACTTTCTTCTTTTTCTTTCCTCTTCTTTCTTCTTCTTTCTTCCTTCTGGTGCCGGCGTTCTTCTTGCTTACAGTGGAAAAGAAGCGGCTGGGGTGCTGGGTGCTGGGTGCTGGGTGCGATTAAAATTACGTTTTAAAAATTACCTTTTGACCCTATATTTTCTATAACTTCAAACTGACCACAACATTTTATAAATTATTTCAATATAACCTAGGGGTGGGCATCGAGACCGGAAAACTTGAACACCGAGCCGCACCATATGGAAAAAACCATGTTGACTAAATAGTCAACAAACTGGCATAAAATCGGACTGGATCGATTCAAACCGATTCTGATATTGGCTTCACAACTTACAAAACTAGACTAGATTGAATTGAATCGACTGCATATTTTTTATTATTTTTAAAAAAATTATTTTAAGTCCAATGCTAAATTTCTAATCTCATAACTAATATTTCCCCAAACTCAACTTCAAAGCATCTTTCTTTTCTAGGCTCAATAATCTCTCTTTGCATGAAATTGGATCATTTATGAATTTTTAAGCCTAAAAAATAAAATTTTAGTTAGAATTTGTAAATATATATATATATATATATATATATATAATATCCGATTCGAAATCAGAAAAACTGAAATTGGTTTAAATCGGACCGGAGGTTTTATAAATTTTTTTCACCAAAATCAGACCGAACCGCAATAGTACCAATTTCTATTTCGGTGTGAGGTGAAAATCAAACCAAATCGAACCGCGCCCACCCCTATCATACACTGCTCATATAACCTTTGCATATCAAGGATGTATTAGCCCTGTATCCGGTGGTCGACAAAACAAGAAAAGTCAACAATGCTTGTATTCGTGTATCACACTCGTATTTGTTTCTTATACGTGTCTTCCCTTGATTCTTGCGTATCAATGTTGCATTAATGGTCTATAGTGGCGAACACACGACAGGACAAGAGGGGTCAGACGATGCCTTGGAATGCCTAAAAATTGGTTGTGGATTCCACCAGCGACCCCTTGGCCAGGTGCACACCAAGTGCTTAATGAAAGTCCCCTTCCCCTTTGTCCTTCACTGCGCAGCTCCTAGCTGCTGTGCGCAAGGGCTTAATTTATTTTTTTTTCAAAGCTCTTGGCCAAATGACTTCGTTTGGTCCATGCTCATCAAATGTTTTTTTTAATGACATGCAATGGCGGAATCAGGAATTTTTTTAGAGGTGTGCTAAAATTTTAATTTTAATTTTTTGTATAGAAGATCTATATAAACAATGAGAACCAATTTTTTTTTTTTTTGTTTGGGTATGCTAATTGATACAATAAGAACCAAGTGGGAATCAGAAACTGAAACTGTGGGAAGCAGAAACACGAACAAAAGTACAATTCATAGCAGTAGCATATCCAAAAAATGTACACAGAGGCATAAACACAAAAGCTTTGTTGCACTTGTAGATCTAAATGCTAACCTGTAAATCGGAAGAAGAAGAAAAGAGAAGAAACAATGGTTCCCACTCACGTGGCCTCCAAACCACAAATATATTGCAAGTATGTGACTTTGTGGGCCAACTAGCTTAACAAATGGTGGACTAATATTCGTGGGGAGTAGGAAATATCTTATAAAATTTGCACCAAATTAGTATTTTATTAAATCTTGCACCAGGCTGAAGCCCACTCTAGTCTACATGTAGTTCCGCCCTTGATGACATGGCCTCAAAACTACATCATTTTGGGCTAGGTAGCACCCCTACCCCCTTTCAGTCCCTCTCAAACCCCAGGCCCCAAGCCCCAACCTCCACCACCACTTCGTTAGCACCAACCACATCATGCCGGTAGCCATCGCCAACCACATTTATGGAATGAAATTTTTGATATGATATTGTTATGCTTCTGTCATATTGATATGAAATTTATTGATTAGAGTTTATATTTGTTATGTTTCGTACTGATATTTATTATTATTTTTTTATTGATAATGTTTTGTTTTGTTTTGATTAATATGATAAAAAAAAAAAATTACTAATAATGTTATGGTTTTTAGTGTTATTTTATACTTAAAAAAGTTTTGGAACTTTTACAATGTGACCCCTTGGTCGGAGAATCCTAGATCCACTACTAATGGTATATTTTTCATATTTGCTTATGCAATGGCATGTTTACCAATAGGGGTGGGCACAGTCTGGTTCGGTCCAATTTTCATCCCAAATTGGAATTGGAATTGGTACTACTCATCCGATCTGATTCGATTTTGTTTTGACCAAAAAATTATTTGATTCGATTTGCTCATACACCGGTTCGATTTTTGATTTTGAATAAACCCAGCTTAAATTTTATTTTTTGGGCTTAAAAATTCACAAATAGCCCAATTTTTTGCAAACGAAGGTGATTGTGCCTAGAAAAGAGAGGTGATTCGGAGTTGGGCTTGGGGAAAGATTAGTTATGGGCTTAGAAATTTAGCATTGGGCTTAAATATTTTATTAAAAAATAAAAAATACATAACCATCTTAGTCCGGTCCGATCTGGTCCATTTTTTCACTACAAGAACCGTAACATGACCAAACCGGTCTACTATGGTTTTTGGTCAATTCGATTTTTTACGGTTTTTTTAAGCCTAATTTGGCTCATTTTTCCTATTTGAATGCCCACCCCTATTTACTAATCTGAAATCGGATTATGAGGAATTGAATTTAGAAGGGGTTGGATTGAGGAGAGTTAGATTTCGGATTCTTATTAAAGTTGTGTACTAAACCTTGTGGAATTGGGGTTGGAGTGATACTAATTCCTTATAAGTTGTTTACTAAATTCACATGAATTGGAATTGAAACCAAATTAATAACTAAAATGCCCTTGTTATTGGGTTAAAGTATATGGCAAATTTAGAATTTTAAAAATTGTGTGAGGATATAATGGGTAAAAAAGATGAATTCCTAATGAGTTCTCCAAAAATACCCTTACCACTTTACGATGATTCCAGAATACCCCAAACCCTAAAAAAAAAATCAATGATTAATTGTTTATTAATCACCGTTGGAAAAAGCAAAATTTTTCCCTTTTCTCCTTGGTTGCTAGCGTCTACTTGTCTTGTTATGCTTCTTATCACTACGGTATATTTGTTTTTTGTTTTTTTTCTATTGTATTCCTTATATTATTATATACTAGTTTTTTCATCACTCGTCATATGGTATCTTATATTATACATTAGTTATAAAATAAAGTTTTGTCAATCTTCTTTTTTACAAGTGACTTAGGTAAAAAATACATATATTTATATGTGCAAGACATTTTAGTAATTAAATTAGTTTAGGTTAAAAATAACAATGAAAATCAACTTCATTCAGCACCGATTCTATATGATTAGTAAACAACTTTACTGGAATGATTCTTCCTATACCGATTCATTACTTCCTTGATTCCTAAATTCCCCGATTCCTTATTTTCTCAATTCCTGGTAAGTAAACGACCCCTTTGTGTGGGTCCCACTCACATTTTCATTCCTCCATGTAAAGTAAACACATCAGTATCTGTAATAGGAATTTAATTCCGATTACGAATTAGTAAACATGCATGTTAATTAATTTGTTTGTGCATATCAGCCGATATTATTCACTAAACTCATATATAAGTTTTTAATGCCTTTTGGTATACAAGAAGCATATATGAGAGACAATGTTGCTCTATGATCTATAAAATACACATGATATAAGCAATTCAAACACATAGACCTGACTTGTACAAAACTTAGTGCAAATGACTACCATCTAGAATTAGGCATCTAGTACAGCTATCTGCAAAGTATACAGACATAATCTCAAAAGTCATTCAAGTAATTTCTGAAACACTTAGCATGCATACAAAGAACAAACAACTATGCAAAATCACATTCAGGATCAACACCATATTTTGCTAACCCAGAAACCCACCACTTGGGAAAAATTAAGGGATATCAATAGTCGTGGCAAAGCACCATCACTATATCGAATGATAAACTCAATATAAGGAATTCCATACAGCCTAAACACCTATAACTAAACTAAGTGGCAATTGTACCTCATGTGCAACTTTCCAAACCTTTAATTACCAAGTTGTTCAAGTCTTCTTGTGGATGGCAATAGTACCTAGATCGTCCAGCTATTCATCTCCAAGGCACCGTTCAAATCAATTGATGTGTGAATGAAGATTTTGATCTAAATCAAATCAGCTTCACCAAGTTCACACGGATAGTTTGATATAGCCAAATAGAATATGCTAGCCTAAATTCTGATTATGAGAATGATATGCAAAGTTGAAAGCCATATTAAAACTGAGAAAGATTTTAAAGATTATAAAAACAATGAAAAATCATTTTCTGACAATGAACACTCTAAAAAATCGGAGCAACAATTTCGCAAAAATAAGTGTTGAGAGAATAAAATTGCCTATCACTAAACCCATGTTTCATAAATGACTTTTCAATAAACGCCAAGAAAAAAAATCAAGAACCCATGAACTCTCTCTCATAGACCAACAATTGGATAGATTTGGGCAAGCCTAAGAGATTGGCAATCAGGATTCGTGAAAATTAAAATTGGCTAGACCAGATCACATGGACAAAATTTTAGTGTAATTGGTTAGTAAGAAATCACTAGTCAAGTGAGTAAAAGCAATTAAATTTAAATACAAAATTTGGGATAAGTTCAAAACTGAAAACAGAAGTTGGGTGCAGTCCACATATTTGTTGTTGTTGATCTAAGTCCTTTGACTCAATGTTCCACGTATACTCAGTCGAAAACGTAAACATACCTCTTCACAATGTATACCAACCCAAAACCCTACCTATGCCTTAGATTAGGTACATCACTAAACATCCTCCCACGTTACCACTGGTTTACCAGGTACATTAGAAAATACTACCAATATGTTAGGTACATATCTCGTAGTTACTTAGTAATCATGTACATTATCTCATATTTACTTGGTAATTAGTTACACTATCTCATACTTACCTAATAATCATGTAATTGTAGTGGCTGGGTACTACGTCAGAGAGTTGTTGGCACATGTGGATGGAGATCGGTAAAGCAAAGCGATAGAGAAAGGAGGGTATAGGGCACTGCTTGGGTTAGTTCGAAGAGAGATAAGGGGGAAAATAGAGAAAAGAGGGAGGTTCAAGTTGTTTGGGTTAGTTCGTTGAAGGTTAAAGTCATTGATGGCCAGTGGCTTACGTCTTCAGTGATCGGAGTTGGGTGTTTGCCAAATGGAAAGAGAGAAAGTGGTTGAACCTCATTGAGTTAAAGAGTTGGAAAGTAAAAAAATGGTTATTTACATTGACACCCCCTAAGATTTCAAAAATAACACTAACACTACCTGAGGTTTCAATTTGTTTTCACAAAATCCTTTTCTTTAATTTTCCGTCGAAGAAACGATTTCATTAAAAAAAATTCTTCAATTGACAAAATTTCTTCAATTGAAAAAATTTACTCACTTATTAGACCTTAAAGGTGTATGTGTAATCTAATCTCAAAGGTTAACATTGTCACTCGGAGAAATTTTTTTAATGTCATCAACAATTTGTAGGTGGAAAATTGACGAAAGAGGTTTTGAGAAAACAATTTGAAACCTCAAGGGGGAAAACACCAAAAACCTTAGAGTTGTTAGTGCAAATAACTCAAAGAAAAGAAATAAGGGGGAAGATAGAGTCGCAGATGGCCGGAGGTTTACAGCTCTGGTGATCAGAGTTAGTGTTTGCCAAATGGAAAAAGAGAAAGAGGTTGAACCTTACATGAGTTAAAAAACCAGTCGTTGAGTTAAAGAGTGGAAAGAAAACAAAGAGTTATCTACACTAACACCTCCCTGAGGTTTGTGGTGTTTTAATAAAACCTCTCAATGTTTTAGAAATTACACTAACACCATATGAGCTTTTAATATGTTTTCACAAAACCATTTTCTTTAATTTTCAGTCAAAAGAATTGATGATTTCATTAAAAAAATTTCTTCAAATGACAAAATTTACTTACCGATTAGACCTTAAGTGTGTACATGCAATCTAATCTCAAAGGTTAACATTGGCATTTGGAGAAACTTTTTTTTATGTCATCAACAATTTTTAGGTGTAAAAGTGACGGAAGGGGTTTTGTTAAAACAATTTCAAACCTTAGGGGGTGTTTGTGTAATTTCTAAAACTTGAAGGGGTTTTGTGAAAACACCAAAAACCACAAGGAGTGTTAATGTAAATAACTAAAAGAAAAAAAACATGTGTTGTTTTGTAAGTAGTGCCTGCTATTATCCCTAATCTCACTAACCTTATAAATATGCCAACACATTGTATAAATTGCAAGTGCACCCTTATTAGTGATGTAAGAGCAAGTCCACCGCAGCCCTTTTTGCCAGGGCAACAGGCCCCCCCAGCACGAATTGGACCTCCAGCGCAGGAAAAGCAGCCCGGGCAAGCCCTGGGTCCCACCAGCCCGGGCAAGCCCAAGGGCAGAATTTGACTGGGCTTCAGCCCGAAGGCGCTGATGTCATCAGTGACGTCAGCGAAGCAAATCAAATTTTTTTTTACCGTTGGCGCGTGAAATACACGCGCCAACGGTAAAAAAAAATTGATTTCACCGCGCTGACGTCAGCGACTGACAGCCCCCAACGGGCAGACGCCACGTGGCGCTTCCCAGATGCTTCGATCGTTTTTTGTCCAGAAATCCAACGGACTCGATTTTTTTGGGTTAAAAAAATGCGAAAAAAATTCAAAAAAAATACCAAAAAATACCAAAAAATTCTGGATATTTTCTCTATAAATACCTATCAATTTCATTCACATTCCACACCAATCTTCATATAAACTCTTCTCCTTCCAATTTATTTTCCATTCTACTCACATTTTTCTACTAGTTTCCATTTGTATCAAAAGATCAATGGCATCTTCTGTTGAAGCCGGAGGCGCTTGGACAACTGCGGAAGATATTGCGTTGTGTGAGTCTTGGGTGAAAGTTAGTCATTGCCCTATATCAGCAATGAAATGAAGTTTTCTCAAATGTGGAGAAAAATTCATGAAGAATTTTCTGAAAAATCCGGTTCGGCTCGGACGGAAATGGCCTTATCCTCCAGGTGGAAAATTTTGAATAGAGAGTTTGGGAAATGGAGGGATGCTTTGACAAAAGCGAGGGAGAACCTTCGAAGCGGTCAAAATCTTACGGATGAGGTAAAATATTTATAATTATTGTTTTATTTAATTTAATGTAACTTTTTTTTCTTACATATTAATTTATTTATATTTTGTTGCATAATCATTTTTTTATTTTGCAATTTTAAATTGTTAATATTTTCTTCCGTATTTATTGTTTTCTTGCATAATCATTTTATTTCTTGCATTTCTAATGTATTTATATTTTGTTGCATAATTATTATTTTTTCTTGCATTTCCAAATTATTTATATTTTCTCCCTTACTCATTTTTTGGTTGCATTTCCATTTTTTTTTTTAATAGATCATACAAGCACAAATGTGGTTCGGTGCCACGGGGCAAGGCAAAAAAAGTTTCCAAAATCACCAATGTTGGGAACTTGTGAAGAATTGTTCGAGATTCAAAATAATTTGCACTACTCCGCCGGTTGTGTTGAATGAGACGCCGCTCCACGATTCGCCGGCAACCGATTCGCCAGTGGACTCCCCAATGGATCAAGACTCACCACTCCCACGTGCGCCGAGACCTATTGGGAGAAAAGCGGCAAAGGCGAAGAAAGGGAGCACTTCGAAGAATGAATGTGCACAATTTTTGGAGCAAATTGCTAAAAATGGTGCACTGAGACTTGAGAGAGACTTGAAAAGAGAAGAAGCAGACAAGGCACGAGCTGAAGCATTTGCAATTGAAAGGCAGCAGGCACAAGAACAAGACATGGAGGATAGAGAGATGAAAATCATGGCCATGGATACCACCCATATGTCTCCTGAAACAAAGTCCTATTGGAAGATGAAACGAAGGGATGTGATGAGAAGAAAACTTTTCCACGACGACGGACCTAGCAATACGGATTGGTTAAATTATCAAAACAATTAGGTTGGATTGAAAGATTTGTCGTATGTATGAAGAATTGTTGTATTGTTTCCCTTTTATTCAATAAAGAAAGCATTAAATAATATGAATATTTATTATAAATATTTGCAAATGAAAACAAAGTTGAATTAAAAACAAACGTTATTTTATTGCAAACAACACACAAAACAAAGCATAATTCCAAACACACCACACACAAAATAAAACATAATTAAAAACAAAACATAATTTCAAACACACCACACACAAAATAAAGCAAACTTGAAAAGAAAGCATTAATCTTACGCCACGTGGCGCTTCCCGGATGCTTCGATCGTTTTTTGTCCAGAAATCCAACGGACTCGATTTTTTTGGGTTAAAAAAATTCAAAAAAATACCAAAAAATTCTGGATTTTTTCTCTATAAATACCTATCAATTTCATTCACTTTCCACACCAATCTTCATATAAACTCTTCTCCTTCCAATTTATTTTCCATTCTACTCACATTTTTCTACTAGTTTCCATTTGTATCAAAAGATCAATGGCATCTTCTGTTGAAGCCGGAGGCGCTTGGACAACTGCGGAAGATATTGCGTTGTGTGAGTCTTGGGTGAAAGTTAGTCATTGCCCTATATCAGGCAATGAGATGAAGTTTTCTCAAATGTGGAGAAAAATTCATGAAGAATTTTCTGAAAAATCCGGTTCGGCTCGGACGGAAATGGCCTTATCCTCCAGGTGGAAAATTTTGAATAGAGAGTTTGGGAAATGGAGGGATGCTTTGACAAAAGCGAGGGAGAACCTTCGAAGCGGTCAAAATCTTACGGATGAGGTAAAATATTTATAATTATTGTTTTATTTAATTTAATGTAACTTTTTTTTCTTACATATTAATTTATTTATATTTTGTTGCATAATCATTTTTTTATTTTGCAATTTTAAATTGTTAATATTTTCTTCCGTATTTATTGTTTTCTTGCATAATCATTTTATTTCTTGCATTTCTAATGTATTTATATTTTGTTGCATAATTATTATTTTTTCTTGCATTTCCAAATTATTTATATTTTCTCCCTTACTCATTTTTTGGTTGCATTTCCATTTTTTTTTAATAGATCATACAAGCACAAATGTGGTTCGGTGCCACGGGGCAAGGCAAAAAAAGTTTCCAAAATCACCAATGTTGGGAACTTGTGAAGAATTGTTCGAGATTCAAAATAATTTGCACTACTCCGCCGGTTGTGTTGAATGAGACGCCGCTCCACGATTCGCCGGCAACCGATTCGCCAGTGGACTCCCCAATGGATCAAGACTCACCACTCCCACGTGCGCCGAGACCTATTGGGAGAAAAGCGGCAAAGGCGAAGAAAGGGAGCACTTCGAAGAATGAATGTGCACAATTTTTGGAGCAAATTGCTAAAAATGGTGCACTGAGACTTGAGAGAGACTTGAAAAGAGAAGAAGCAGACAAGGCACGAGCTGAAGCATTTGCAATTGAAAGGCAGCAGGCACAAGAACAAGACATGGAGGATAGAGAGATGAAAATCATGGCCATGGATACCACCCATATGTCTCCTGAAACAAAGTCCTATTGGAAGATGAAACGAAGGGATGTGATGAGAAGAAAACTTTTCCACGACGACGGACCTAGCAATACGGATTGGTTAAATTATCAAAACAATTAGGTTGGATTGAAAGATTTGTCGTATGTATGGAGAATTGTTGTATTGTTTCCCTTTTATTCAATAAAGAAAGCATTAAATAATATGAATATTTATTATAAATATTTGCAAATGAAAACAAAGTTTAATTAAAAACAAGACACGTGGCAACCAAAATTAATGGTTTAAAGTATAAAAAAATAGGAAATAAAGTACAATGAATAGTATTTGCCCTTGCCCTAGCCTTTTGGGGTGGAACCAAAAAAGGCAAGGCTGCCACTATTCACGTGAATAGTGGCAGCCCTTGCCTTGCCTTAGCCCTTGCCTTAGCCCTTTGGGGTGGACTTGCTCTAAAAAGCCGAATAGATTGAAAAAAATAGATAACTTGTGCCTTAAGTAACATGACTCCTAAAAATCAAACCATTATGTTCCGAGTGGGGAGCTGGCTCTTAATTGGTTACATATTTTTTTTTTCTTTCTATGCATTGAGTGAGCAACGACTTTAATGTTTATCTAATACAAAAGAAATAAGGAATTGAATTAGTTTGAAATTGAATGCAACAGAAAATAGTAAGAATAACTAGTTACCGAGCATAAATCCAGTCTGAATCACAATTTTGAGAATTATGTCGAGAGAGAGAGAGAGAGAGAGAGCCTCTCATTAATTTTGAATATTCTTTATGTTGACCTTTGACCTAACTTGACTAAGTTTTCTGGGTCTTCTTGCTTTGACCCATGAACATATTTCTTACTTGTTTTGGTTCTCCTTTAATAAATAAGAAAACACTGGCCTTCACTTTTTTGGGTAATAAAACACTGAAATTCTCTTAAATAATCAGAGCCTCATCAGCCCATTGTCCAAATTTTGACTGGCCCAAACCCAACAGCTACAACCTCTCATCAATGAACAGAAAAAAAAGACACAAGCAAAAGTAAAAAGCCCCTGTCTTTTCTAACGTATGCAAGACTGTGTAAAGGACAGTGAGATTACCGTATCCAAGAAGAAAAGGTTGAGGTTTGGCTTCTTGTTATGTTCCCAATGGTGTATTCTCTGTTCATCATCCGAAATATAAATTAATATTTACCTCCCAGAGGGTCCGCAGTCAAATCACAAGTGAAAACTACCCTTGAATTGAAGAAGACTTGTTGTGGCGCCATTTTTTCAAAATTCCCCCGCAGTCCGCTTTTGCCCACAGGTTTTTTTTACTTTCCGAAATTAATTAATTTAACCCATCCAGCCAAGTCCCCATAGTTTCCTGTACTTTCCATCTTCTCTTTAGTTTCCTATAAATCATCTTACTTTCTTTCTCCTCAATAAATTTGAGTTCCCCACGCACGCACACAATCTCACTGACAGCCCCATATAACTCTTTTGTCCAGACGGGAGAGAATACGAAAAGGTTTGAGCGAGTTTTGAAATTTGGGTTGTGATGGCGAGGAGAGGAAGAGGAAGAGGAAGAGGCAGAGGCAGAGGCAGAGGCGGAGGCAGAAACGGGTCAAAGCAAGAAGACCCAGAAAGCCACAGAGACCAAGAAGTCCAGGAAACTCACGAGAATGGTGTCTCAGAAAACGGTACCTTGGAAAAGGAGGAGACTTTGGGGAATCAAAGTGATGGGTCAAAAGGGGTTGCTGAGACTATGAAGAAGAAGAAGCGTGGCAGGAAGAGTAAGAAAGATTTGGAGGCTGATAAAGTGGAAACCATAATGGGGAAGGAGGAGCTTAGTTTGGAAAAACAAAATGGAGAGGAAGGGGAAGGTAAAGGGGTTGCTGAGACTATGAAGAAGAAGAAGCGTGGCAGGAAGAGTAAGAAAGATTTGGAGGCTGATAAATTGGAAATCATAATGGGGAAGGAGGAACATAGTTTGGAAAAACAAAATGGAGAGGAAGGGGAAGGTAAAGGGGTTGCTGTGACTATGAAGAAGAAGAAGCGTGGGAGGAAGAGTAAGAAAGATTTGGAGGTTGATAAAGTGGAAATCATAATGGGGAAGGAGGAGCATAGTTTGGAAAAACAAAATGGAGAGGAAGGGGAAGGTAAAGGGGTTGCTGAGACTATGAAGAAGAAGAAGCGTGGCAGGAAGAGTAAGAAAGATTTGGAGGCTGATAAAGTGGAAATCATAATGGGGAAGGAGGAGAACAGTTTGGAAAAACAAAATGGAGAGGAAGGGGAAGGTAAAGGGTTTGCCTTGTCTGAGAGGGAGAGCCGAGGAAGGAAGAGAAGCAGAGATTTGGGGAACTCTGATGAAAGTTTGAGAAGCAAGTGGGCAGGTTATTCGCTGAGGCCTGTAAAAGTTCCTCTAATGCAAGAAGAGCAAACAACAAATAAGCATTCTAAAAAAGTAAGAAACCTGTTACTCCCTGTTTATGCCTTTTGTTGTCACTATTGTTGATTTATGTAATTGCTGATTTTGGTTTTTAACAGTTTGTTGAGGAGCAATCCTTAATGTGCCATCAATGTCAGAGGAATGACAAGGGCAGGGTTGTTCGCTGCAAAAGTTGTAAGAGAAAACGATATTGCGTTCCTTGCATACAGAACTGGTATGCATTTATCTGCTTCATCTTTCTTATTTATTTCTGATTACCAACTGGTAAAATATGCTGGATTGTTTGAGTTTGTTTTGTTGGACTAGCCAGGTTTCTTTGAAGTGAGTTTGCCTCAGTAGAATCCAGTAAATAAGATATTGTATTTCATTTTGAACAAGGGGATTATGGAATTTTTTTATTAAAAAATTGGTGATAGTTACATATGAAAGTTGCAGAATAGGGCCTTATCCTTTTTCCTTTTTAAAAAAAAAAAGTTTTGGTGCTTGGGTTTTATGCATGATATTAGTGGTAATCGAAGTCAACTGAGCACTCGTTTGGGAGTGCTTTTGAAGCAGCGAAAAGCGCTTCTAAATGGGCAAAAGCGCTTCTGTCTTTTAAAAATGGTGTTTGGCAAAAATTGCAAAAGCGCTTTGGGTGAGATCCAAAAGCACTTGGAGTGGTTTTGGAAGAAGCACTTGAGAGGTGCTTCTTCTTAAAAGCGCTGTAGGACAAAAACAAGGGAAGCACTTGGCTCCCTTTAATGAAACTTTTAAAATGCCAAAAATACCCATATTTAATTTTTTTAAATGCCAAAATACCCTCCCTTTCTTTCTTTTTCTCTCTCTTTTTCTCTTAATGATGACCAAAGCAAAGTCATTTCCTTTCTTCTTGTATTGTTCTTATTTACGAGCTTCCCAACAGTGTTATTCAAAATTTTGAGGTGGTTCTTGCCAATTCCTTTTTAATTTCATATATTACGCCCACATGACCACTAAACTTTTACACATCAAAGTATGCAGGGTACAATTTGGTTGTTGGAACTTGGATTTCCTTTCATGCTGTTGCTGCAAACCTCAT